TTTAAATGCCAGTAATGAACTATCAAATTAACTAAGGAAACAATCCCATTTACTACTGCATGAGAAAAAAAAATATCTGGGAATAAATTTAACTAAGGATGTAAAAGACCTGTACTCAGAAAATTATAAGACAATGAAGAAAGAAATTGAAGATACAAATAAATGGAAGCATATACTGTATTGTTGGATAGAAAGTATTAATATCATTAAAATGTGCATTCTATGCAAAACAATCTATACATTTAATGCAATGCCTATCAAAATACCAATGGTGTCTTTCCACAAAACTGTAACAAAAATTTATACGGAACCCCAAAAGACCCTGAATAATCATTACAATCTTAAGAAGAACAAAGTTGGAAGTATTATAGTATATCAAACTATACAAGGACACAGTAATCAAAACAGCATGGTACTGGCATAAAAACAGGCACATAGAGCAATGAAACAAAAAAGACAGCCCCAAAATAAACCCACATCTATATGATCAACTAAGGTATGACAAAGTAGGTAGGAACACACAACGGGGTAAGGACAGTCTCTTCAATAAGTGGTATTGTGAAAATTTAGATACATGTAACAAAAAGTAAAATTAGACTTACCTTCTTACACTACATACAAAAATAAACTCAAAAATGAATTAAAGACTTTGTAAGACTTGAAACCATAAAACTCCAAGAAGAAAACACAGGTAGTACACTCTGACATTTCTCTTAGCAATATTTGTTCTGATATATCTCTTTAGGCAAGGGAAACAAAAGAAAACAGTAAACAAATGAAAATACATCAAATTAAAAGTTTTTTGCACAGCAAAGAAAATCAACAAAATGAAAACACAACCCACCAAATGGGAGAAGATATTCACCAATGATACATCTGATAAAGGGTTATTACCCAAAATTTATAAAAATTCATATAATTCAATACCCAAAAAACAATGCAATTAAAAAATGGTCATAGAATCAGAATAGACATTTCTCCAAAGAGGACATATAGATAGCTAACAGACATATGAAAAGATGCTCAATGTCACTAATCATCAGAAAAATACAAATTAAAACCATAATGAGGTATCACTTCATACCTATCAGAATGGGTATTATCATTAAATCAACAAACAAGTGTTGGTGAGGATGTGGAGAAAAGAAAACCATCATGCATTTTTGGTGAGAATGCAAATTGGTACAGACGCTATGGTAAACAGAATGGAGGCTCCTCAAAATACTAAAAATGGGACTGCCTTACACTCAAGCAATTCCACTGCTGGGTATACAGCCAAAGAAACCTGAAACACTAATTGGAAAGAACATAAGCAAACCTATGTTCATTGCAGTATTAGTAACAACCAAGATATGAAGGCAACCCAAGTGACCATCAACAGATGACTAGATAAAGTTGTGGTACATACATCAATGGAAAATTACTTGGCCATAAAAAATGAAATCTTAACATCTGTGACAGCACAGATGGACCCAGAGGGTATTATGCTAAGTGAAGTAAGTCAGACAGAAAAAGACAAATACCATATGATTTCACTTATATGAGGAATCTAAAAAGCAAAATAAATGAACAAAACAGAAACAGACTCATAGATACAGAGGACAAACTGATGGTTGTCAGAGGAGGGAGTCTGGAGGGCTGGGTGAAAAAGATGAAGAGAGTGAAAGGACAAATTAGCAGTTACCAAAGAGTCACAGGGATGTAAAGCAAAGCTTAGGGAATGTAATCAATAATACAATAATAAATACGTATATGCCAGGTAAGTACCTGAAATATTGGGAGGGTCACCTTGTAAATTATGATTGTCTAACCACTGTGTACACCCAAAACTAACTTTAAGTAATACTGAATGTCAAAAAAATAATAAAATTAATTTCTCCTTTAAAATTAGACAGATATTCTCTTCTAGATATCTGAGGATTTATACTCTCCTTCTGAGTGCAGTTTTATATTCAGTGTACAACACATTATTCTGAGGCTGATGGTCTAGTACAAGAACTACATAAACCTTCCATTCTTCTCTTTTTTTCTCAGGCTGGTCATTGGTCATTTCACTGCTCAATCATGTGCCAGATGGGGAACTAAAACACACTGACAGTTGTTGAAGGCAGAGGTGTCTTAGCAAAATGCACAAACTGAGCACCAGTTCTGGATTCTGAGGACATGGGTTCAATCTGTGACTGTACCACTTACCAGAACAGACAATAAATGCTGCCTGGTGTCTGGGCTTAGACGTCAGTTTTACCTTGGATTGAAAACTAAGCTCCTACCACTTACTGTTTGTATGACTGTGGGCAGAAGAAATAACTTTAATGCATGTCAGTGTATTCATTTATTCATTGGGAATGACAATAGCATGTATCTCATAGCATTGTAATGAAACAGTTCACATATAAAGCACCAAAGGTGGTTGTTCTATGTAATGGTAACCATTATTATCACAGTTGTATAAAATCAAATATGTCCTTTAAGTTTGTCTTCAGTTCCCTAACCTGTAAAATAATGTCCACCTCACAGAGTTGTTGTAAAAATTATCCTATTTGACAGTATGGAAGGATCGTGCATATAACAGGCAATAAAATGTTGGTCATAGCAAATTCTTTTAAAAAAATGACATAAGCAAGCTTCAATGTCTGGATATTTGGAACCTGATTCTAATAAACCAACTAAAATGACTTTATGGATACTCAGGAAAATTCAAACGTTGACTAGATACTTGACATTACGGATTATTTATTGTTTTCAAAAATCTTTTTTTGAGATAAATAATGAAAAATCTATAGAAGGGTTCTTTTATAGCATAGCTAAATTTTGCTTCAAAATAATCAGGGGAGTGGGAAAGCATACAGATAAAACAAGTTTGACTATGAGCTGACCTCTTTTGAAGCCGGGATGGGTATTTAAAGTTATCGCTAGTTCTTCATTTTTAGTACACATTTCAAATTTTCCATAGTAAAAAGTAAAACAAAACACCATTTCTTGGCTCAAGAATGTATTTTCCATCAGGCAAATCCAAGCTGGGCTGCCTTTTTCTAGTACCCTTTGTACAGTTCAATGTAATTTATCACTCCTCCTATCTTCTACCTCCCTTTCTATGCAGTGAGACTCTAACACACACAGCAGTCATTCTTCTCTTTGCCTTTGGTTGAATCATGCCTTCTGTCTCTAGCGCCCTTCCTGCTTTCCTCTATCTGTAGTCTATCTGCCTTGTCACAAAAACCAACTCAAGCCTTATCTTTTTCATAAGAGCTTGCCACAAATATACTAAAAGAATCATATAGATAACTCCTAGTGTCCCCCACATCCCAGGTAAAGAAATTACTTATTGGGTGCCTATTAGATGCAACCTACTCTGCCAGGTGCTGAACTATGCCTTAGCTGTTTCATGCTCTCAGTTTCTAAAGATAGCAATGCTGGAACTCAAGTCACTTTCTTTCAAATAGAAATACATGAACAAGGTTCAGATTTCAAAAGCTACATAAAGGAAAGGAGTGAGGTGTAAGTTTGCCTCCCACTGTTCCCAGCCTAATCTAGACTCCCCTTCCTAAAAGCAACTGATATCAATTGCAATCTCATTTCTTTTCTGCCTTCTAAAGCAAAAACTTCCAAACATTTTTAACCACAACACACTGTAAATCATTCTTTTTACAGTACAGCCCAGTTTACTCTCTCTCTCACAGCTTCTCTCAGAGACATACACTCATATGCATTATGTAACCAAACAAGTCTCATGAAATACACTTAAACTCAGATAGTTTCTACTGTTTCACTTACTCTTTTCCTTTGTCAAGCTGGTCATAATTCACTAAACTAATTTTCTCCTCCATTAATGGGTCAGCTATGGTTTCAAAAATACTTCTTTAAAAGTAGCTCTGAGGTAAACACAGGGATCTCCCAATAAAAAGAGAGGCAAACACCACACTGCCTGAGGTAAACCATAATTTCTGTCATATTTAAAGTTCTACTCCAGGTGGTATAAGTAAAACAACTTGATGAAAACAACAAAAACATACTAAAGAACAAAGTTCATATAGCTCTAAAACAAAAGTGATGAGGATGAAAAAAAAAAAGCCATTATAAAGTGAAATACATTCTTGATTTGGCAGCACACATACCAAAAATACACAGTGAAATAAAACTAAAAACAGCAACCACTAGAATCTACACACACACACACAAAACAAAGACTCGGCTAAAAACCACCACGACCACCAAAACACCCCACTGAGCCAAGAAAATGTTTTCAAAGAATAGCCATACAAATTTTAAAGAAGGCAGACAGCATTAGTCTAACCTAGCAATTTTCAAATGATGTGCTGCAAGACTTTTAAAAACACGCAATACTTGACTATTTATTTAGTTAGGGGCACTGATCTCTTTTTCTTAAGACTGTCAAATAAAAAAATGACAACAGCCAACACAAAAATAGCCACCTGGTGTGAATGAATCAAAATTATACCTATTTTTTTTCTCAGATCGGCAGAAAATATATTTTTTGGTATGTTACAGAATTTTAGTAATTAGATTATATGTGCCATGAGAGGAAAACAGTTTAATATCGCTGGTCTAACTCTCTCATTTTACAAGGAGATAGAAGTCCAGAAAGGTTGTATATGTGCATGTTCTTCCCACTGTGGTGAGATTTTAATGGAAAAATACTCACTCTAATTCCTAAAGAATGCTGCTAACCACAGGCTAGTAAGTCAGGGGCTATCATCTTCTCTTGTCCCACAGATAAATGGGACACTGTCGTGGGGGATGCTCCAGGTCTATCAGCCCACGGGAGGGGTTCCCAAAATGCAGCCCCCAGACCAGCAGCCTCAGCCTCACCTAGGAACTTCTTAAAAATGTAAATTTCAGGCCACAGCCTACCCTGTATTGTAACAAACTCCAGTGGACTCTGAGAACCACTGTCCTACAGCAACCCAGGCCCTCCCCATTTCAGATAAAAGGAATTCCAAAGCCACTACACATCACCTCTCAGATGATGTAAAACTCACCTCATCAAATGACTTGTGGGGACGGATAACCATTTGTGATTCATACGATCTGACCCTTACAAATTCTGGAGACTCCGGCACACTAGGGTGCTCCACAGCACTGATAAAGAGAAAAGGTAAGGAAACTGAGTAATGTCTACTTGGAAACAGCATAGGAGCTAATGTTAAGAGGAAAATCTAAAAAGCTGGCACTTATAAAATACAACAGAGGAGTCACTAAGACAAATGAATACAAAGTAACTTTTCAAAGTGAGTTCCTTTGGTAATTCCCAGCTAAGTTTTGTGTTGAAGACAGAGCACTTCTTTTTAAAATTATCAATATTAAGAAACTGAAGAAATGATTTAATGAAAAGCTTGTACCCCTTCAATCTCATGTTCTAGTTGGGATAGATGGGGCCCAGGCTTCACTTATAAGGTCACTAAGAACATGCAAACCCACCACAGACACATATGAATGAAGGACACAGCTAACTGAACTCAGCAGGAGTCCCAGGTAACCATACATACCGTGACACCAGCACCATCACATTGTTTTCCTGATCCACGCTATACCGCCGAACATAAACATAATCCCGTGAGTACATTGGATACTAAAAAAAAAAAGAGAATTATTGTTCTGCCTCACATGGACATGATAAACATAAAACCAGAAGTAAAAATACTCACAGGAAAATGTGTTACCCAGTGAAGAACCTCAGAACCACTAACCACATCTCTCTCAATCACTTCCAGCTTGATTACCAGGGCATCCCACTTTTTCCTATATTCTGTATCCAGCTATGGAAAGAGAAAAGACCCAAGAAATTTAAAACAAAGCTGCAGAAGCCTTCTCCAGAGACTTGGGGCTCTGACCCAAGGACTTTATTCTGAAACAGTGGTCTAACCTAAAAGACAGTGCTAAAGTATGAAAAACATGGCTGTGTTTACTACAGATGAGTCTTTTTAAAAATTCTCTTCTTGCAGGACATCATTACCTTGAAAGTGAATCATAACAAGAAAAAGACAAACCAAAGAACTGTGTAAGAAAAAAAATACGGTGTAACAGGTATGCCTGGGGAACATACAATAGACGATATAAATGTATAAGGGTAAAATAATTCTGAAAAGTTTTAAAGAGACAAAAAGTCCAAAAGGATGAGCAGATACCTCACAGAAAGAAATTCACGTAGTGTATGTTAAAATTTTTCTAACTAAGGAATTTCAAAATAAGACACTATCATATACTTCTAAACCAACCAAAAATATAAGTTGACAAAATTCAGTGCCAAGGGGAAAGTGTGCACTTGCATATTATAGTGGGTGTTGTAATTATCAACTAGTTATTGAAGGTCCAGCAAAACAAATAAAGAATCAAGGAGGGAAAAAAAAAAAATACTTGACTGCAAAACTCTGGATGGTCCTGCCTCCACTTTTCATGTCTCCCCTGGAAGGACAAAAACAGTCTTTGAACAGACACACTTCATTCTCCCTAAAAACAAATACCTTCACTGTAGAAATGTTTCAGATTACTAACTCCTGACTAAATCTATACTGAAGAGAAAATGCTACAAAGGACACTACTGGGTCAATATATAAAACTATAATACCAATAGATTTTGTAAATGTCACACCAATGTTAAATTTACCAACTTTGATTAATGGTACTATGGTTAGTTAAGAGAATATGTCTAGTTTTAATAAATACACACTGAAGGATTCTAAAATAAAGGGCCAGGTATGCAATTTACATCAAATTGTTTAGGAAAAACATAAAAACTACATATCTTCATAAAACATATTAAAGCATTCAAATACATTCCTCTATTTCATCTTTCCAAGAGCCCTGTGAGAAAAGTGTACACTTGCATACTATAGTGGGTTTTACAATCATCAACCAGTTATTGAGGGGGTAAAACTGGTCTTACTCCACTAGACAAAGACATAAGTCAAATGTTTACCCAGATGCTATTTAACATGAGATGAGGCAAAACACAGATGGATGGATGTACTGAAGCCAATGTCTTCTCAGTCAGAAAAATTATTCATGTGGTAATGGTTAAGTGAATTTCCAGGCTTAGAGGTTCCAAATGTGGGAAGAAAATTTACTCACCTGAACATTGAAGAACTGCCGGGGTGTCACATCTGTGTAGGTTCCAAAAACTAGAATGACAAGAAAGAATCACTGTGGATGTTTGCCACACAATTTCGTCACTCACCTATTCCTATCATTTAATTGTACTTCAATTACAGTTCTGACAGATCTCAAAGGCAGATTCAGAAACTAGAAGTCTTATTGGGGTGGCAAAGACATCCTACAGCGAAGTATAGCAAAGAAGATACTAAGACATTTGTCATCTAGGAGAGGAAAAACAATAGACAGTAAAAGACGGCAAATTTCTTGCGAACCAACGGGTACAGAACGATTTAGAGAATACGAGGAACAGAAGGCCTGCACACCTAGGCAACCATGGAACACACTTACAAAGCAGAATAACTGGGCTTACCTCTGTACTGGTAAAGATGGGTGCCTATAATAGGGCGCCGCCACAGCTTAAAGTGTTTCTTATCCATCACCATTTCCCATGGTTGCTCTTTGCCCCCTGAATCTTCATTCCCTTCTGTTTGCAATTTTGGTTCTGGAGGGTGGTGCTCAACCCCTGGACTCTGAAACACAGTTGACATTTCCTCCAACCGTTTCATTTCATCAATGGATCTGAAAAGGGGAAAAACAACAGGCATGGTGCAGGTGGTTGGAGTCAGCCCTGGGAAATGACGTCTACACAAAGATTTGCATAAGAGTAATGTAGATTTAAAAAAGCATAAAGTGAATAAAAACGTGAGTTCCAGAGTCTGATTCCTACTCTAAAATTCCTTAATATATTTAATTACTTAACTAGTCCCCATTTCGTAATTTGTAAAATGGAGATAACAATAATGCCTATCCCAAAGGTTGACTGTAAAAATTAAATAAATTCCTATGTAAACTGGCCCTCGAATGTCAACTATTAAGGTTTATGAATAAGCCCTGGCTGGTGTGGCTCAGGGGACTGAGTGCTGGCCTGCGAACCAAAGGGTTGCTGGTTTGATTCCCAGTCAGGCACAAGCCTAGGTTTGGCCAGGTCCCCAGTAGAGGGTGCGCAAGAGCCAACCACACTCTGATGCTTCTCTCCCTTTCTCCCTCCCTTCCTCCCCTTCTCTCTAAAAATAAATAAATAAAACCTCAAAAAAAAAAAAAAAAGCTTTTAAAAAGAAGGCTTATGAATGTGAAAGGTCATTTAATACCTTTTGCCTATTTTTAATTGGGTTGTTTGTCTTCCTATTATAAGAGTATTTATATATCTTTCTGCCTCTTTTTTAAAAAGATGTAATTCATCTACCATAAGAACTATCCTTTTACTGTATGCAATTCAGTCCTTTTTAGTATAGTCACAAGGTTGTGCAACCATCACCAGTATTCCAGAAAATTTTCATCATCCCCCAAAAAACCTATGCTTATCAGCAGTTACTCCCCAGCCCTGACTCCCCACAGACCCAGGCAACCACTCATCTACTGTATCGATGGACTTATTCTGGATATTCCATATAAATGGAATCATACAATATGATCTCTTATATCTGGCTTTTTTCATTTATGTTGTTTTCAAGGTTCATTCATGTTGTTTTTATTTGTTCTTATGGCTAAATAATAATCCATTGTGTGGACACATCACCTTTTATTTATCCATTCATCAGATGATGGACATTTAGGTTGTTTTCACTTTTTGTCCATTATAACATGGCTTTGATCATTTGTGTACATGTTTTTGTGTAGATGTAGGTTTTTAGTTCTCTTGTATAGATTCCTAGGAATGGATTTGCTGGGTCATGTTTAACTTTTGGAGGAACTGCCAAATTATTTTTCTAAGCAGCTGCATCCTCTTATACTCAAACAATGTATGAGGGTTACAACTGCTTCACACCCTTCCAACACTTCTCATTGTCTATCTTTTTGATTCTAATAGTCCTAGTGCATGTGAAGTGGTATCTCATTTGGTCTTCAATCTGTATTTCCTTAATGACTAATCATGTTGAGCACATTTTCATGTGCTCATTGGCCATTTATGTCTCTTTGGAGAAATATCTACTGCAATATTTAACTATTTTTAAATTGAGTTGACTTTTATTGCTGAATTGTAAGAGTTCTTATATATTCTAAATACGGACCCCTTATCAGATACACAGTTTAAAAATCCTTCCATTCTGTGGGTTGTCTTTTCACTTTCTTAATAGAGAACTTTGATGCACAAAAGTTTAATTTTGATGAAGTCCACTTAATCTATTTTTTTCTGATTGCTTATGTTTTTGGTATTGTATCAGACCTTTGTCCAATTCAAGGTCTTAAGGATTTAAATCTATTAGCTTATATGTAAGTCTTTGAACCATTTTTGTGTATGATTATTTTGCGTGTATATCTACAGCTGTCCCAGTAACCATCTGTTGAAGACTATTCTTTCCCCACTGAATTGTCTTGGCACCTCTGCTAAAAATTAATTCACCATAAACATAAGGGTTTATTTCTAAACTTTCAATTTTATTTCAACAATTTGTATATCTATCCTTATGCCAGTACAATATCATCATAATTATTGTAACTTTTGAAATTGGGAAGGGTGAGTCCTCCAAATCTGTCTCCCCCCATCCTCCTAGATTGTTTTGACCATTCTGGCTCTCTTTCATTTCCACATGTAAGTATCAACTTACTTATATGGAAATTTCCACAAAATAGCCTATGATTTTAATAGGAATTGTGTTGAATTTATAGATTGCTGTGGCTTGTATTATCATCTTAACAATATTAAGCCTGCTAATCCATGAACACAGTGTATCTTCCCATTTGTTTTTAAAAATTCCTTTCAATGATCTTTTGCAGTTTAATGTGTCATTCACTTTTGTTAAATTTATTCCTTAGTATTTTATTCTTTTTGATGCTATTATAAATGAAATTGCTTTAATTTTAATTTTGGATTGTCCATTGCTAGTATATACAAATATGATTTTTAAATACTGATCATATATCCTGCAACCTTGGTGAACTCATTTGTTAGCTCTAATAGGTTCCTGTGGATTCCTTAGGATTTTCTACAAGATCAGGTCAACTTCAAATATAGTGTCACTTCTTTTCCAATCTGGATGTCTTTTATTTCATTGTCTTGCCTGATTTCCCTGGCAAGTACATACATTACAATGTTAAATAGGAGTGGTGGGAACACATCTTTGTTTTGTTCCTGATCTTAGGGAGAAAGCCTTCAGCCTTTCACTATTAACTACGCTGTTAGCTGTGTTTTTCATAAGTGCCCTTTATAAGGTTGAGGAAGCTTCCTCCTATTCTTTGTTAAATGTTTTCTTTTTTTAAATATGAAAGAAGATTGGATTTTATCAAATGCTTTTTCTGTATTTATTGAGATAATCATGTGATTTTGTCCTTTATTCTAGTAACATGGTACATTGTTATTTTTAATATGATGAACTAACCTTGCTGTTCTGGGTTAAATCCCACTTGTTCATGGTGTATACTCCTTTTTATATGGTGCTGGATTCATTTTGTTACTATTTTGTACAGGGTTGCATAAAGCTTTACAACATTCAAAATAATACCATATATCTTACCATGTATCATAAGTTATTTAGGGATCTGTGCGTATGAAAAAAAGAGAAGGTGAATAAAATACAACAAATTGGGATAATCTGGGGGGAAAGAGGATATTTCAATTAGAAAAGGGTACAGAGGAGGTTTTAACTTATTTATAATATTTTATTTCTTAACAATGACTATATTTGTAACATTCATGTTATTCTTTAAATCTTGTATATACCTGAAACATTTTATAATTATTTTCTAAAACATGGCTTGTACTTTCCCCTTAACCTTTAAATAGCAGACAGTAAAGAAAGACTGTTGGCTATCTATGTCATAAAGAATTCTTCTGTGATTCAATACTAAAGAAAACACCAACTACTGATACATTCTCTCTGAAGTTCCCTTTTATGCCCCTTCAACTTCAAAAAAAGTCCACAAGGTTCAAGGTTAACTTCTAGCAATTCACCATATACATTTACTACATTTACTTTTTTCTACAGAAACATATCACATTATAATGTATCTTTATATCTGTCTCCCTTATTAAACTATGAATTCCTTAATGGCCCAAAATCAGTCATTGCATATTTTTATTCCCAGCTCCTAGCAAGTGCCTGGTGAACATTAGATGCTCAACAAATATTTGCTGTATAAACTGAGCAAATAAATGAATATGAACATAGGCCTCAATAATCCAAATACTTGCCCTGGCTGGTGTGGCTCAGTGGTTTGAGTGCCAGAGTGTGAACCAAAGGGTCCCTAGTTCCATTCCCAGGGTAGGCCACGTGCCTGGCTTGGCAGGCCAGGTCCCCAGGAGGGGGCGTGTGGGATGCAACCACACGTTGATGTTTCTCTCCCTCTCTTTCTCCCTCTTTAAAAATAAAATCTTAAAAAAAAAAAAAAAAACCCAAATACTTAGTATACTGGTAATTCAAGATTAAAAGTTTAGAGAAATACAAATAGATGGTGAGTGTAGAGACCTGTGTTTTAGTCCTGGCCCTGCCAACTAGCTGTGTCATCTTATGCAAGTCATTTTACCTGTAAAGCGAGGACACTGTTTCTTTAAGATTTCGATTAGCACTAAAATTCCAATTCTCTTAAACTTTGGAGTTAAATGAAAATATTTACATAAGGGGAAATTTGTTGTTCTGAATGCCTGAAACCTTTTACAGTTTGGGGAGACTCCCAGAATAGGTGAGATGCAGCCCCCTTCTCTGTTGGAGACTTCTGGTAGAGACTTTTGAATCCTGAGGAAATAAGAAAGGCACAGGATCTTCTTCAGTGATGTTGAGGGAGCTGAGAGTGCAGTAGTGCAACTGATACTGGGGAAACAAAATAACCAACAGTGTCCTAAGGATATTATTCCTGTAGCTGGTCTTGGCTAGTCTCTTGAAAAAGTCTCTTGGCCAACCTGTACTTTGGCCTTCTTATCAATGCTGAGTGACCTAACACCTTTCTGATTAATTCATTTTTGTCTGCAGTTAACCAATATCAGTTTCTTTTTTCTACTAATATTCTGATGAAATGGTTTAACCAATTCAGAAAAGTTTTAATTTAAATTAAAAGTTGCAAAATAGGATTCACTGCCACCACTGCAAACACTTACAGAAATAGGGAAGGAACTTTAGAGTAGGCAATAAGATCTTGCAGAGGAGAAAGCAAGAGCAAAACCACAGCTAGACTTGCTCAGTGAACAAGTCAGGCATCATCACATAGCACCAATTACAGAACTTTTTAAGATCAGTTAAGTATCCTTTAATTAAAAATAAGCATCATTCTTGAATGTCATCCTTATCACATAATGAAGAGGGACAGGAATATTTTATTAGAAATACATCAGGGGCTCACTAAATTACAGAGTAATAAGGTTTTAAGGAAATTAAACTATATGACTACAAGCAATATTTTTAATGGCCTCTTAAGACTTAAGGTGGTACAGAGCTTCTGACCCATGTAATGAAGGGCAATTAAGTGGCCTTTATTAAAATTATGAGACTAAGTTTCCAAAGGGAACAAGAAATATCTTGTAAAGAAATAATATTCATTTTTTGAATAGCACAATATGAATGCTGGAGCCACACTGCATCATGAA